AAAAACAGGGACTGAGATATTTCCCCTAGAATGCTTTTCCATCTCAAAGGAAATAAAAATCACTGTGCAGCATTAAAAGTTTTTGAAGTACTTACACTTCTTCAATAGAAAAAAGATTTTGCATCAAGTACAGCAAAAATATTCAATATACAGTAATGGTAAGAATTTAAAAAACATTAGTCACAAAAAAGGAATAAGAATCTAGATCAGAGCTCAATAAGACTATATCAATAAAGACCATCTTTTCTTGTTATTATAGTTTTAATGTGGTTCTCAGTTTTCAGGAAGCCAGAATCAAAGGGGAGAGATGCAGTGTTACCTCGGTTCACGAACTTAATCCTTTCCACGATTCTGGTCATAAACTGAACTGGATGAGAACCAAATCAAATTTCCCCCTAAGGTCAACATTGAACCTAACCATTGAATTTGACTCGGTTCTCATCCAACTCGGTTTGGGGCCAGAATCATGGAAAGAATCAAGTTGGTAAATTGAGGTACCACTGTATTTACATTGCTCTTGCTGTCAAGAGAGAAATAAATCAACTTTCTAGGATAAACTTCTCCTGGCATTTATCTGCAAAAGATTTTTCATATGGGTTTCACACTGACAGTGACACTAGTAACTACTGTTCTTCACATGAAAGAGGAGAAAAATTCTACTATCCCATAAACTCTAAGAGGACGTGGGCCATCCACTGTCCATACCTATGACAGCACTGGCATCCAAGCAGGCACTCGAATATTTGTGGAAATGAGGAACAGTCAATGAGAACAGGATATCATTCTGAGATTGGGCTGCAGAGACAGCTCTCCCTTGTTAGGTGATACTGTCTTGTTCATCATGCTAGAAAACAGACTGAAGTTTGGTCTGCAGAAGTATAGGGATGCCTATCTAGTACGCTAAGGAAAATGGATGGTAGGTCCCCATGAGAGCTTTCGATTTGGCAGCACTTCTAAGCTTTACAATATCAACACAGAGCTATGCCAGCTGTGATTCACCAGGTCTGGCAAACAGCACAAGGACTACAAATCATTTACTAGAAAGGATGTCTTAAAGCAAAACCCATGAAGACGTCAATGCCCAAAAAGGAAAGGGAAAACAAGAACAGGAACAGACTGAGTGAAAGGCAACTCAGACCTAGTGATAAAGCAAGTAATAGAAGGAAGAGACTTATGTTACAGTCATGGAAGGTGAGGTGACAGTAATGTTAACTGGATAAGGGTAATGTCCAAAATACACAAATAAATCAGGAGTTAGCAGACACTGGGGCTCAGGGTTTTTGAGACAAAAACTACCCATGAGTGTTAAGGTAGAATGACTGGAGAACGAGGAAGACACTGAAGCCCCAGGCTTCCATGATAAGCCTGAAGAACAAGCATGGGCAGACCCCATGGTGACAAAAATGTGGGAGAGACAAACTTGTCAGAGATCAAGTTGTCAAAAGATTCAGGCTACTTCTCACAGCCATGCTCCAAGCTGACAGGCAAGGCTATGTGTTTACTGTGTACTGTGTGATTTGGGAAAAAGGGTATGGTGTGTTAGCTTTCCATTGCTGAGACAAAATACCTGAGAAAGTCAACTTAAAGGAAGAATGATTTATTGTAGTTCATGGTTTCACGAGGGCAGGCAATAATATTATAGCAGTGCCGGGTGTGGTGGCTCATATCTGTGATCCCAGCACTTGGGAGGCTAAGGCAGGAGAGTCACAGTGAGTTTGAGGCCAGCCTGGGCTACATTGTGAGTTCAAGACCAGCCTGAACTACATAATGAGACCATCTCAAAAAACAAACAAACAAACAAACAAAAATAACGATGGAAGGAATGGCAGAGAAAAGCTACTCATTTCCTTGCAGCCAGGAAGCAGAGAGAAGGGAAAGAGTCTGACAGAAAAGGGCCAAGAACAAGATATAGTCCCCAGGTCCATGCTCCCATGATCTAATCCCTTCAACCAGGCCCCACTTCCCATTCTGTCATCTCCCCATAATGCCATCAAATGATGATCTCATCACTGGGTTAATCTACTGATGAAGTTGGAGCTCTCATGATCCAACCAGTTCCCCAAAGCCCATCAGCCACCAAGCCTTCCACACAATAAGCCTTTGGTGGAGGGCATTTTGCATTACAACCATAACAAATGGCAGCAGTCTGAATGGGGAACCCAGCCAGGCCAGTCTGCAGATTCTTTTTAGCTTCTCTACACATCATTTCTTCCTTCCCCCTTTTTAAAAATGGGGGTCTTATCATCTATAAATGAGGGAGACCAGAGAACTTCCTTATGGCTAGTTCCAAGACAGAAAGGCAGGGAAAGATTACACTTTTAGTTGCTATGATCCACCTGAGAGAAGAGAAATTCTAGTTTCTATGCTGACCTTGAGGAGAAAAAGAAGTACATGAAAGAGTGCAAGAGGAAGTCACATTGTGACTTTGCTATCTGAGGCCTAGACGTTGCTGAGACCCCAACATTACCGTCACCTTACTAATCTGAAGCTGTTCCAAAGCTGCTTCAGGAAGGATAAAAGCCAAATACTTTCACCTGACTTTTCAAGTTATTTAGGAAATAAGAACTATGGGAGTTATGAACTGCCAACTTTGGGCAAAGTCCAAAAATACATATCATAAAACCACATTCACGCTGCTTCTGTGCTCAAAATCTTGCAGTGGCTTCCTACTACAGAGTAATATTCAAGCTCTTCTTTGCACATCCTGCCTCATGCCCAGGCCATGCCTAGAATGCTATGCTTAGATTGCAGACGAGGGAAAAGCCCAATGCCTGACAGGCTCATAAAGACCCATGAGAAAGGGTGAGCCAAACTCACCCTTCTTTCCTCTGTCCCTCTCTCTTTTCTCTCCTTCCTCCCTCTCTCTTTCATGACACGATTGAATCCAGGCCTTTGAGCATGTTCACAAGGGCTCTACCACTCACCTATATCACCAGTCACCCCCACTCTTTGAGACAAGGTCTCACTAAATTGCCCAGGCGGGCCTCAAACTTTTTTTTTTTTGGTACTGGGGATCAAACTTGGGACCTTGAACTTGTGAGGCAGGTGGCAGCACCCCTGAGCTAAATCCCTGGCCCTGGCCTCAAACTCTTGATCCTCCTGCCTCAGTCTCCAGAGTACTAGGATTACTGGCCTGCACCATGGCACCTGGCCAAATCACTTATTTAGGTAAATTGCTATGGCTTCTCCCAGTGCACTGGTGGGAAATTAGCCTGCCCTCCATGCTAGCCATACTGGGGTGACTGAAACACCAGGGCTGGAGCCCAAGGTTATCACCCTCTGGTTGGACATCTTCAAGGTAAACCACCTCTGGGAATGCTTGGCTTGAAATGCTGTCCAACAGGGTAGTTGGATGGCAGCAAAAAAACCTGGGCTTTTTCCCCTCCCTTTGGGAAGTTTAAGGGGTGAGGAGAAGAAGCATAGGTTCCAGGGAAGTGTGTTGTGGTTTCAGTTCTCCCTGAGGCTCTACTTTCCAGTGTTAGCACCTCCCTTATTTCTGGGTATAACTGGAAGGCCCAACCAAGAGAATATACTCATGTACTTTTCTTGTAGGTCTCAACTGCTTAAGTCAAGTCTAAAGGACACCTTAGACTTGAAGAGCTAAGGTATGGTGTATTCATTCACACAGAACAGTAATTCCATACATCAGACTATACTTCAAAGTGCCACAAACAGGGTATGTGCCATGTTACCTACAATGATCTGTACTTGAAAAGCAGACTTAAGTTAGGTGGTGGAATATAGGCATATATTTTAGTATTTTCATATCTTTTTTGTACGTTTAAAATATATTATAATAATACTTTTTTCTTTAAGTGGGCCTAACAACTTGTACTGCCTGTTCTTTGGGAGGGCTTGTATTCAAGAGACAGTTTAAAAATCAGTTTTATAAACACAGAGCTGAGGAAAATACTCATGGTCTCTTATCTCCATGAACTGATTGTTAGGAAGGAATTTCATCAGTCCAGCAGCACCTAGTATGGGAATGTTTTTAACTGGCAAATGTCCAGAGATGAAGACGGTTATTTTTTGTTTTTTCTTTCTCAATAGGTACTATGGATTTTGGCTTCAGATTAGCCAAAGTTCTGTTCAAATTTAAATTTAAAAAAATTTTTTAAAGAGGTTTTAAAAAAAACTTAAAAAAGTGTTTTCTGGGGAAACTTCAATAGAAGTCCCTTAAATGTAGCCCTACTGGTTAGTCATTAAGTACAATGAACTTTTAAGGACATGTTTCCTAAAGTATGGAGTGACAGCCAAGCTTTGGGGTCAGAGACTAAACTAACTCAGAATCATGCCAGCTATGTGGCACTGGAAAGTTACCTAACTTTGCAGGGGGCTGCTTTTGCCTTTGTAAAATGGGGACAATAATAACTAGCTGACGGGATGTGTAAAGATCAGAAATATTAAACACAATACTGTGCCCAGCACACAGCAGACCCTCAACAAATTATGATTAAAGCACAGGTTTTTTTATTTGTCTCTATGCAAGCCCAGAATTTGTTACACAAAAAATGGGGGCCAGGGATTTAGCTCAGTGGTTCCACCGCCTGCCTTGCAAGCGCAAGGTCCCGAGTTCGATCCTCGGTACCAAAAAAAAAAACAACAACCCCCAAACAAAACTGATCTCAGCTATCGTTATTTTTTTTAGTTCAACATTTTTGTGTACAAAAGACAAGAAAGCCAAGGTTCTGGCCTTTGAGTAGCTTACAAATAAAACACAATACATCCAGTCAATCCTTTAGCAATTTTCAGGGACTTTAGGTTTGGTAAAGGAATCCGCAGGCAGCACTAGCAGTGGCTCGCTCTGTCCACAGACGGAAATCAGGGCCTGGGACGGCACAGCATCCAGCGTCCGACCAAGGCCACCCGCATCAAGGCTTCCAGGTACCTTCCGGGTCCGGGTTCATTGCCACTGCCCTTTTCCCCGTTCCGGTCCAGGACACACCCTGGGATGGGAGGGGCCGTCCCATGAGGCTGTGGCCCAAGGCGACAGCACTTACCAGCGCGAAGTGCACCAGGACATCGTAGCAGAGCCAGACGAGTGCCCCGCGGTCGGCCGCCCCCTGCCTGCGGCCCAGGCGCAGGCCCAGCGCGCAGCCCGCCACCAGCAGCCCGGAGCACAGCAGCAGCGAGCGGCCCGCAGAGGCCCCCAGCTCCCAGTTGATGCCCATGCCGCGTGCCGGGCTCTCCGCCGGCCGCAGAGACAGACGCCCAGATGAGAGCGAGTAGAGAGAAAGGTGGAGCAGGCGGGGCCTCTGGGTGCGTACCCTCGGGTGATGGGGCGGGGATTCCCCTCTCGCTAGCTTAGTGGCTGTCCTGGGGAACCCGAAGATTTACTCATTCCTGCTTTGCAGGGGCCTACCAACTCGTGTAGATGTCTCCGCCAAACCTGTTTCCAGACCAAGCTCCAAAGGATCGGCAATAGAGATACACATTTTAAAAGGGCTTGATTTTTAACGACTTTGAGCCACAAAGTGAAGTCCAGTTGGTGGAATTTTTTTTGTTT